ATCGCACTAGATAGAATATGATACTGTATGTCACACGGTACACTATCGCACCAGGTACACTATGATACTGTACCGCACACGGTACACTATCGCACTAGGTACACTATGATACCATACCGCACACGGTATTAAGGATTTGTATCAATATCTTCTTGAAATCTGTTGCTTCATGATTATTAGACCCATATGGTTAGGTCTATTTGATTTCCAAGTCTTTTCTAAGGTTTCGCAATCTTCGTCCTAGTAGCCCTTTAACTATACGTAGACTGTAACGCCTTTTCTGATTGTTGTTCTTTAATCTTTAACATACAACGCACACTGTACAACTTCGTTTTCATGCAATTCTCATACACAAACTCACACCGTAGCCGTGGTACAAATCTTCACCACTAGGGGAAGGGTGCGCCAATCATTAGAACACAATCATCAACAAATGCGAACAGCAAAATCACTCAACTTGTCTCGCAACATTGCTGCAAATCAATTTGGAAAAGCGATGCTGCGAATATTACTATCGTCAAACCATGCGAATTTATCGAATCAAAATAATTTTTTTCAATAGGCAACGTGCAGCGATGCCATTTTGTGCAGCAAAGCATGATGGTAGTAGTCTTCGCACTTTTCAAAACCACTAAAATATCTCCTTAAAAGCCGTTTTTACATTTTCTTTTTAGAAACGGCCTGAATACTTCAATTTTCGCTTAGACAAAGCAAAAACTGGTTAGGAGGACTGTTTTAGCGGACATAAAAAAGTGAATCGTGATTTCTGATTGGTCACTAAAGTCAGCTGATTGTCGTGTGAGTTAATKTTGCTGCGACACAAAACTCCACAAACTTTGCTGTAAAAAGTAGAATACTTCTTCAACTTGCAACTAATTTTTTTCATTCCGAATATTCGCTTTATCTAAGAGCCTCTAGCTTCATTTGCGTAGGGTAGTATCACCTACCGAGATGGCCTGGAGACGAAGTTGATTTTCCCGCGGAWTTCTCGCGCTCGCGCACTGCTCATCGGTAMCTTACAACAGGAACACTTTATTGGTTTTCCGGCTCGAACAAAATGCAATTTTGGGATGTTATTCGCTCGAAACTAAAACTTAATGGTAGATACGATTAGCTTAATTAGCGACATTAAGGTAAGGAGTGTAAAAAGTGCAATTGTTTCTGATTAATTCRTTATTTSAAGCTCTAATTTTTATTTGACCTTGAAGCTAAAACACAATTTTTGAGTTCTTGTAAAAAGTGTTACTTAGTGTTTGAATAAAAGGTGTAAGCTTGTGGCACTGAAGTCTTAATAATTAAACATGAGCTCAGCTTACTTCTCAGACATAAATAACTTGTTAAAACTCATGTACAAATGTCTTCTTTACTTGTCATATACTATTCAATAGAGGTTTACATAAATTGTGTTGTTGTTAACTGGAAAGGCGTTTTTAAAACAATCATTTTATAATAGAACGAACTGGAACACACAACGGAAATTCTTAACCGAGTTTACAACAATAATTTATCTATACACCTACTTGCAGAAACGCTGCCAT